TTTTCCCCCCACCCTTATATCCACCCCCTCACCCTCACCTTTGTAAAAGGCGTATTTCAAGTACTAGAGACTTGTGCTTTGGAATGTACATACATTTGAACATTATGATTATGTTCTGAAAGTTTCATTAAGATTGTACGTCTAGAAATTAAATTATTCAACAAAGAAATTCTTATAATGTTGCCCACACTACAGCGCAGCCCAAGCGCAGTCGCTGCTTACTGCGCAGTTAGCAGAGCGCATTCGTATACGTGTGTGTATGTATGTGTGCCGAAAAGAAGTGCAGAGTGAATATCAGATTAGAGGGTTTAGGGTATCTCCTAGTCGAGCAGTCTCGACTAGAGTCCTCTTACTTGTTTAATTTAATTTTACACAGATTGCGCTTCGTGTGCTGTAAATCATTACAAATGCGAAATTAACATACATAATTAAATAAGCTGAGAGTTAAGCTAATGGCTGCGCTGTCTGAAATGAATGTGATCCTTGTGAAAAATAAAAGTGAGGGTCTTTGTGTAAAAATAAATTATAATTAAATGAAGAATAAATTGAAATTAAGAATATCTAAAGTCAGAATAACTGTAATAAATAGCCCGTTAAATAATATTTGTCTGCCTTTGACATTACCGAGGCTAAGCAATTTAAGGGGACTCCCCTATCCCAGCACACAGACAACAATCACTCATAACAGAAACATTCTAAAGCCCTTTCATTGCATTGTTGGCAAACACAAACAGCAAAGCACAAGCGAATTCATGCACAATTTATACAAGTTGATAAACGACAATGCTGCAGCGTTGCCAGATGTTTGCCAGAAAGAGGAAGAGAGTAGGAGAGTGAGGGAGAGTGAGAGCTTGAGAACGAGTTGCCACAAAAGTTGCTCGAAACTTCTTTAAGTGCTGAATCATGCCGCATATACCATATAATTAATGTGCAGGATACACACACTCACACACACACACACGGATGTATGTGTGGATGTGTGTGTGGGTGCACGGTAAACACCCTAAAGTAGCAATTAAGCGTTACGTATACGCCAATCCGTATCACAGCGTAAAACGCCATCTGAGGCTGGGCTTTCGTTTGCCTTTGCTTTTTTTTTTCTTTTCTTCTTTTCGCTTTTCGTGCTCTTTTTTAGGTGCTTTGGCTGCTCGTTTCGTTTTGTTTGGTCAATTCGAGTGTGAAAATGTACTCGAGCGCTTTTCATTATTGCTGTTGTTGTTGTATTCGCTGTTGCTGTTGTTTTTGTTGCTGTTGCTGTTGCTTACATATAAGCGCACAGCCATTGACCTTGGGCTGTGATGTGCAAGCGCATGGAACGAAACGCAGTGCCCAGCTCCATGGTTGCCTTCAACTGGGCGTGGCGTTGCACTACAGCCGTCTTTTTTTTTATTTATTTATATTTATATTTTATATATATATTTATTATTTATTTTATTTTGTTTGCTATCATGTCATTATCTAGCGTTGCTCACAGCTGCAATTTCCGCTTTTGCAAAATTTTGCATATCCTTGGCATGCAAATAGGCAGAAGTATTTAGGAAGCGGCAGCCGGCGTATTAAATCGGGGTAATACTACTAGAATTTCTCTGTTTAAGTTTAATATATAAATACAATGTATGATATGCTCGCAATAAATGGTATACAAAAAAAAGTTGATCAAATCACTTTTTCAATGACCATCCATTTTAATTCGATAAATTCATTTCGCATTACTTAATTAGTAAATTATTTGCAGGCAAATAATATTTACTAAATTTAGAAGGCTATACACGGGAATCGTCAGAGAATATATCCAAGTTGATGATTGGACGTGAGCATTCTTGCTAGGCTCAATATATATACTGAATACAAGAGATCTCTAATATTAAAATGCAGTACTAGATACTAAAGATATCAAATATTGAGTAGGTGTATATATGATGATACTTATTCGTCAATTACCATAACAGGTGGCTATTGTCAGTGAGGTATAGCATTATCATCCGCAAATTTGAGTTCTAAAGAACATCTATAGATTTATCTCTGTAGTGACTGAGTAGAGTCGATAGAGCATTCTGCAGGTGGACAATAAGCAACTCTAGTTGGTTGAGGATGCAGAATCAATTTGATATCAAATATCAAAGCATATTATGCACTTATTCAAATTCATTCTATCAAAGAATTTCCCTTTCAAAATATGAAACTTAATGTTATTTAATATCAGTTTTAATGTTGTTCAAGTATTTGCATTTCAGAGCATTTTGAGCTGCTTGTAAAAGTTTAGCCTCTTCATTCCATCCATCAAGCGAGAGAGCGAGAGAGAGAGAGGGACAGGGAGAGGGAGTCAGTTGGAGAGATAGAGAACGGGAGATGCGGGGGGTTTTTATGAACAAGCCAAAATTGTTGCGTGTTTTTTTTTTTTATTACACAATGGCCCCACAAGAGAACTTCATCATAAATATTATCAACATCAACATCATCATGATTGCAATCGTTTGTCGCCTTCATTGTTGTTGCTGTTGCTGTTGTTGCACAATTCTCGGCAATTTTTAAGTGGCCATCTGACTGAGTGAGCAATGGACCGTTGTGCTGCGGGCAGTGCTGAGGGCAGGCCCTAGCACTTGAAACGCTTGAACTTGATCCTGTGAAGGCTGCATACAATCAGCAAATAAGGAGGACAGCCTCGACCTTTTTGTTCGAGCCATTCTCGTGCATTTGGCATGGGCCTTAGCTATGCATTGAAAAATCAGCACGTCAAGCAAACGGTCGACAGTGTTTGCTTTTTCTCTCATCTGCTTCTATTATTTGTTGCCCTGCTGCAGCTAACACAAAGAGCGAGAGAATTGAGAAAGAAAATTGAGAATGAAGTGAGGTTGTATCGATTATTGAGAATGCCCAGAAAACCCATCTACAACGTATGCAAATTAGTTTCCATTCGAGTTCCAGTTACCAATTTTCTCTAATTTACCTGTCTGCTGTATATGGGGCGTGGCCTGAGGCGGAGCAGAGATGTTGCTTGACAAATAAATTTCACGAATTGCTGCATTTTCTTTTCTTCATGTCCTTCTCAGTAACCTTATCCTTTTGCTGTTGCTTTTTATACACAGCGCTTGCTATTTTTACTCTTCTATGGGAGCTATCTCCTCTGAGAGATATTTTGTCAAAGAGTAAAAGTAGATGAAGATAACCAGCAAACTAGCTCTGGTGTATATTTTTCTATGGCCAACAGATGTTTTATAAGCTTGCAGCTATGTCAGCAATGCTAATTAATGAAGTTCCTAGAAAATAGTACTTTTGTAATTGTACTTTTAACTCTTTTACTCCGTGGAACATATTAAACTTACATTTTCTAAATAAAAATCGAATTATTTTGCATTTCCGGCAGATTTGCAATATAATCAGATATTGAGACGAACAAATGTTTATATATTTCATATAGTATATCAATTAGTATTTGGTTACTGATGATTGTAAATTAAATACCTATTATATACTTCATATTCAGTTCCTTTTCTACGCGCTGCACAGTTTTTGAATACTTTTGAAAATTGAATTAATTAAAAAATATATTAATTATTATTTCTAATTTCAGAAGTTTGCCAATTTCAATCAGTCCAGCCATCCATCCCATCCAAGCGTATTTAAGTTTCGTCACAAAAACCATTTGCTCCCTCTTGTTTTTCACTCTCAGCTTGACTTCATAAAATATTCATAGGACTGTGGCAAGATGCCAGAGATGTCCTTGTCCGCTGGGTAAGTCCTCGTCGTTGTGGGTAATCGCAAATTCAGCGCTAAATCTCAATCAAAATGCGCGTAAAGTGGCATTTCACTTGATTTTTATGAATTCGAAATGCGTCATTTTTGTTGATTGAATGCTTTAAAAAAAGCAGAAGATATTACTTAAGCTCACAAGTTAACCAAGTCTTCGCGCAGAGTTCCAAAGGCGTTGCGAGCTCACTAAAAGCTCAATAGATGGGCAAATTGCTTTATGTTTAGGCATTTAAATCCTTAAGATTATATTTGCCATTCGCATTATATTGAATTGAATTATATTGATTGAAGACGGTGAAGAATATAACATCATAACAATAAGCGCGAAAATTGAATTGTTAATTTCCAAAGTACTCTTAGTCTAGTCATATACTGCTTTCCAATACTCACATTATACTACCAACAAATTTGTCAGGATTGACAACTTTTAACTTGTATAACTTGCAGTATGGCAAATTTTTACCTCTGTTAATTTGCATTTATTTTTAATGATTTCGGAGGAATTCAAAATTCGATATCTCGATTGGTTGCACTAATAATTTGTTGATGGGCAGCACTATAGTTATGCGTGCTAATTTTACAATTTATCGATAAAGTTTGGCAGGGGATCGATGTTGGATTATCGAAAAAGCGCTGCCACATGCTTCGAAATATAAAATTGGAATAAACAAATTGCGTATTTCCTTTTATTCTTGTTTACGTGAAAATTTTGTGGAGCAAAATACTAACCCTTATATATTGTATTTACAGCGAAAGGATGCATCGATCTGCTCGCAAATGTTGTTGGCATTTGCATATTATCTCATCAGGGCCCCCATCCGAAAAATGGGGCAACAGAAATTGCATTTCCATTTAATCCGCTCGATTTGTCGCCCGTTTTTAATGGCGCCGACTGAAAAGTTGCAAACGCCTTGCCTTGGGAACACAGAATGAATGCATTCGCATTTCATTTGAATTTCAAAAGCTAAAGGCAGGAAAATATGAAAAAAAGTACTAGAAAGAAAACTGCGATTTAAAAAAAGAACCAAGTGAAAAATAATTCATATAAAGAGAGAGAAATGCCAACTTTATGCGGTATTTCCTAAGTGAATTAATGTTTTTGTCAAAAACTTTTTGAGCGTCGTTTTTATTATTTTTTGTTTGTTTTGTTTTTTGTTATTATTTTTTACCTTGCGCATAAATTTCACGCAGCTCTTATGTGTATGTGTATGTGCGTGTGGGTGTGTGTGTGCGTGCATGTGTTTTTTGTTTTTTCTCAGAGCTTAAAATTTGCAATTTAAATGTAATTTCTCAACTGTTTATTTGGTTTATGACGAGTGCGCTCACGTTGATTTAACAGCCAGCGACAGGGCAAAGGGGCGTGGCATGTGCCTTTTATTTTTTACAGGTGACAGCATGACACACATGAATGATGACCACCAGCTTCAAAATACAAAAATGTTACCCCTATAAAACTAAAATTTCCAATTTTAGATAATGAAGATTTTGCAAGCAGTGGAGAGCTTCCGCTTTCTCTATGCCGCGTGGTTCTCAAACTCGAGCTGTGCCCGGGCTCAGACACGTTCTATTATAATAACATTATCCTTATGCCAAAGACTTTCATGCAAATCAACATTGGGACACGGCCTGGCGCCTAAAAGGCAGCCCACAATTCATCGATACAAACGAGAAATTTTCCATTTGCTGCGCGAAAATATTTTGCAAACATTGGCACGTTTTATGGTATAATAACAGCAAAATACCCACACACATAGAAGTATATGTATATGTATATAAGTATGTACGCGTATATATATTAATATATGCAAGAAAATTGGCAATTCAAACAAAAGAACAGCACAGCTGCCTGGCATTTCATGGCATTCAATTTGGCACGCGGCAATAATTTTCGCTCTTTAAATTGTTTGAATTTTATTTGTCACTCTTAATTGAGCTGCATTGATTTGTACTGTGAATGGCTTTAAGGCAGGCTCATTGCCACTAGTTTAGATTAAACCTTTTCTGCATTTAGTCTTATTTATATTCGAGTACTAAATCTCTCTATAAATTGGTCAAAGAAAACTCCAACCTGGCTCGAGCCCAATTCAAATTAACTTCTGTCTAAATAAATCAATTATAAGTATTATCTACATTCACTCTAATAGTATATTAAATCACTCTCAACATCCAGCACTCAGAATTGCTATCATTTCATAAATTGCAATTTTATTGAGCTGTTCTTGAGGCTAGTTGCTTTAAGTTCTCTTTATCGAATGTCTGCGATGTCGCTGTGGCTTGCACAACTGTTTTATGTTTTGTTCTTTTCTTTTTCGGGATCCGTACGACTTCGGTGGGTAGCCTCAAGTAGCAGAAGAGCAGTTGCAGTGGAGCTGCGCCAAGTCTTTTAGTCATTAACGAAATGGATTTGGCTGAGCGCACACGATGCATTTCCATTACGTGGGCATTATTAATCATAGTCTGTCAAACGATGTGCGAGTCGGTCTGTGTGAGCGAGAGTCCGAGCCAGAGCTTTGCGACCGCTCTAACTGCTGTCTACTACAGCCACCGTATGCTCTTCCTAGCCGGCCTGGGCACATTGGCTTTGACACTTCTCGGCTGCCTGGGTAGGTCGGTGCGTGGCTGCTTTCACACTTGGAATACTAACCGTTGACTTCTTCACAGGCTGCCTTCTCTGCACCTGCTGTCGCCTGGCAAGACGAAGAGCTGAGAGCCTGGACTCCTACGCTCCACGCACGCAGAGTATTGTTTGGCCCTCTATGCCCACCGAGACGGCCCGTGTGCTGGAGTTGACCTTTCTGCACACTCCCGATGCCGTGGACTGCATCTGCCGCGGATGCAGCAGGGCGCGGAAGGAGCGTTGCCTGGAGGACTGCCTGAATGGAACTGAGTGTTGAGTCAATAAGTCTTGATATCTTTGAAATGTAGAGTTCTATTAGGCTTAAGCAACGACAAGCGCAGCATTTAATTGTACATAAATTGTTTAAGGTGTAAGGAATCATACTCATAAATTTGTTATCTAACTAAGAATCTACACAGTGTTAATTTTCTATGACTGATCGAGGAATTGATCCTAAGCCCTATATGTCAGTCCTTCAATTCTTGTCGTCATTTAGCTTTTGATCTGGCTTAATAAATCATAGACCATTCATCTTTAAGTCAATAGTTATTGACGAAAATTCATTTTAATACAATGAGCTTTGAACTTCATCTATAAAAACTACTCTTATCATGATTTATTTAAGATTTAAGATGTTTTTAAATGATAAATCAGTCTATAGTTGTTTTGCTACATCTGTTCATTAATGGGCATTGAATACATATGTATATATGCATTTCTTCGACCTTGACTCATGCCTCTCATACGTTCTAAATCTTAAAAAAAAAAAATTTTAAAAAATGCAAATCTTTTGTCCTGAATAATTCTAATTTCAAATAGGTCATGATTTTTCAAGCCAACTTAAAAAGCGAGACATAATATAAGATACCAACTTATAATGGATACATTAAATATATTTATGACTTCATACGAGGCAAAGGCATGTTTTCATATCTCAACGAATACCTATTTAAAAGTATATTGACTTCTTGATTTATATCTATTTAAAATGTTTAATAATTAGAGCAATACTTTGCTTCGATGTATGTATGGAAATTTATGATAAATATTTAGGTGAAAGCAAATTGAGAAATATTTTCAGAAGTTACCTTCCGTACCAGCACTTAATGGTATCTATGGTGTTTGGTCGTCCAAATCCAAATGCTCGTACCTGCGCCAAACAGATTGCTCGCAGCTGTTTTTGGCCATTTAATTGATCGAGTGAGACTTCATATTAGAGCCGTTGCTGATCGAAGCTTCAGTTTGTAAGCAAAAGGCAAAGAAACCACAATAGAGCAAATAATGGGAAGTCCGATGGAGTTATTGCTGTCGCTGCTGTTGCTCCTACTCGTAGCCTATCCTAAATTCTTGGAGGCTAACAACTTCACGGGCAAGTGAAAGTAGTTCGTCAATTTGCGAGATGTCATATTGAATTCAAATATTTCAGGCGATGACTGGTTTAATGGGACGCACTTGTTAGACGACGTTGATAATACAACAGCTAAGTCAAATGGATATGCAATCATCAGAAACACTAAGGAAGCAAATATTCATTATGTGCCGTTGGATCCATTGAGGAGAGTGGCTTTTGTGGCCCTATTGCTGCACATTTTGATCGTCGGTGGAGGTAAGTTTCAGTTGAAGAGCGGCAGGTCATAAGTTCATCATACTGATCTGGCAACACTGGCAGGTCTTATCATTTATAGTATCGTCTGCTGCAAATCACGCACGGATAGAAAACGATTGTTGGAGCTCAAGCGACGTCTACAGAGTCCACCCACACTACAGCATATACCAAATTCACCGAATTGTCCGTGCCATGGCTGTCGGGTTGCGAGGCAAATACTAAGTGGACTGATAGTACAGCAAATAATTAATGAGCGCGCCGAACGCGAGTGATCTAAATACAAATAGGGTATATTAGCCAGGCACCACCTTGTAATGAATAAATGTAATAATGAATGAGCACCCTTGTGCTGTTGTTGTTGGAAGATTGTCGATTGCCAATTTTTGTATAAGACAATTGAAAATATATTTGATTAATTAATTACGCATTAAAAAATACCAAATGGTTGCAAAAATACCAACCGATTTCGATACTCAAGCCGTCGCTTAGTCCAATAAGTATTTATTGTCGTAAGCGCAGCCAACTTCACTTAGTGAAGTTCACTAGTAGTATAAGAAAAACTATTGAAAGCATATGCAGTTTGGTGATGTGGTCGGCGAAGTGCATAATAGACGACAACAATAATGACGACGAGGAAAGTTTGTGCTACGATGAAAGCAGGAGTTTTTCATTTGCGCAGCAATGTCGGCCTCTGCTCGTTGCGAATTGCTCAGACTACGCCATAGCCCACTCGAACAAACGCCTGCAGCCTGCGCGCCATGTAAACGAAGTATCCTTTTTGCCTCACATTCAAGGCGCGATGCGTCGCTTGCGATTGACGCAACTGCTGAGACTGCAAAGCTACGCCTGGCCACATCTCAACCAAGGCGCAGGCCATGGCGCTGTTATCGTGAGTGCACCGCGCAGTGGACGCACATTGAGTTATGTGCTGCCATTGTGCCAGGTGGTGAGCAACACCTTGACGGAGCACCGTTCTCGCACGCGATGGTGTTTGGAGGGCCCCATTGCGTTGGTTCTGGTCGCCGATTTGGTCCGAGTACAACAACTGAGCGCACTCTGCGCCGCAATGTTGCGCAAGTCGCGGAACGAGGAGTGGTTGACACTGGTGCTAACAGTGCCCTCCTCCTATACACCGGAGTTCTTTCAGCGGCTACTCAACGGCGTGGGCTGCCTGGTGGCCACGCCTGCTCAGTTCCTGTGGGTGTGCGGGAACGGCTTAAAGCTGCCCCATCTGCGATTTGTGGCTTACGATGATGCAGATTTGATGCAAGCTGAGCAATTGAAACAGGCTCATCAAAAGCTGCTGCTATTGACCAATCCAGAACGACCTCAGCTAGTCATTAGCTCGCAATCGTATAAACCGCAGCTGCTTTCCAAGCTACGGGAGTTCAATTCCCAGCCCATGGTGCTCTTTGGTGATGTGCTGGAGGCGGCTGTCTATGGCGGCACGCGCCTGCAGATCTCTCTTCAACAGCGAAAGGCTAAGTGTGAGGAGGTGTTGCGTGTACTGCGCCAGCGTCCGCCCCACTCGCATCGGACTGTCGTCAATTGCCAATCGGATTCGGACATACGTGAGCTCGTGGAGACGCTGGTGTCGCATGGTTATAATTGTTTGCCCTATTATCAGACGGCTGACTTGGAGGTGCGCGATCATGTGCATCGCTGGATGCAGGATAGTCGAGGCGAGCTATTGCTTTGCACCGATCACTGCCCGGAGCTGGATGTGCGACACGCCCATACGCTGTTACATTACAGCTTGAGTGATAGCTGGAGTCTGTTCAAGCTGCGTCATCTGGCACTCGCGGATAATCTGAACAACCAATTGGCGGCCACAGACCTGAAGGAGCAAACAGGGCAGCAGCAGTCTGAGCAGGGTAAGTGAGCTGTAATATAGTAGCTATATTGTCTAACTTCTCATTTACAGATCGTTTACTTTCCCTGGTCTTGCTTGATGAGAGCAATAACAATCAGCTGCCGCGTTTGGTGGACTTCTTGCAAATGCATCAGGAAGTGGACAAACTTGTTGTCCAGCTGGCTCGCAGCATACGTATGCAGATAGAGCGCACCAAGAGTAATGAGGCGGCTCTATGCGATCTGCTGCTCAGCTTGGGTGAATGTGTCGATACGCAATGCGAAGAGCGCCATCAGCTGCTGATGCACGATCGTCTGCTGCCCGCGCAGATGCCTGCCCGCGGGGACGTCAAGATGCAGCTAATACGTGTTTATACGCCGACCCATTATTGTGTCCGTCTATTAGAGCATTTGCCACCCGGTGGCTGCTGGCAATCGCTGTCTCGCAACGGAGCATTGGAGCTGCAGCTACAGCTGCTACAATCGCAGGAGTGTGTGCGTGTCTGGCCACCGCTGGTCAAACAAATCTGTGTGTATCGCAATTCAAGTGGGTACGAACGCGTGCGGATATTGCGAGTGGACCCCATTGCTCAGTTAAATCTCTCGAGGACTGATTTATCCGTGACGGTGCAGGCATTGGACATGGACACAAGACAGTTTACGACCACCAGCGGCAAGCTGTTCATGTGCCCGGAACAATTACAAGACGAGCCGCCACTGGCAATAGATGTGCGCATTGTGGGCGTGGTGCCCTACACAGGCGAGCGCAATTGGCATGAAAAGGATGGCAAGCAATGTGAAACCTGGCTAAATTCTACGCCGCAACCCAGTTTCTTGCAGGCACGTATTCTGGCGGCTCTGTCGCATACGCTCTTTGTCCACGACTTGGCAGTGACAAGCTACGCGCCCAACCTACAATTGCATGTGCGTAGCCTCACTATCTGCCAGCAGTTGCTACGCAAGCAATTGGCTAAGAAATGCAAAAGGGCCGAGGCGAAACTGTTGAAGTTTCTAGAGAGGGACCCATGCCAAAATCTGGATTTGCCGAAAACGTCCGAGCTGCCGCGTCAAAAGCTAAATATGAAGACAGAAACTTTGCTCAAAGGCAGAGCTAGCATCTTTGCTAAAATGGCGCTGCAGCTGGGCAAAGAGAATAGATTGCGCCTGCAGCAAAAGCAACGGGAGCTGGAGGAGCAGCAACAGCTGGATGACGTACAAACTACGAAGCAGAGAGAGCAGCTGCAGCAATCGGAGGATAGCTTAGAAGCATTGTGCAATTGCCTCATGAAATGCACAATGATGCAGCTGCAGCAGGATAATAAAGAGAATGGCCTGCTAACAAAAGATTGTATCGAGAATATGCCCGATGCATCGCTGAAGAATATGACGAGGCTGGAGCCGGAGCTGGAGGCACGGCCAGGCGTTACTAATAAATTAGATGCTGCTGCGGATTCAGTTATCGAATATACAATACACGATATACAAATACAATTCCAGCTGCCGTCAAATGTAGTTCGACCCGAGGTCATTTACTATCAAACGGCTTGTACGCTGGAACTGCAAATTGCTCTTCCGGAAGATATGCTGCCTTATGAAGTTCTGCTGCACAATGGTTGCTGTATTGTTTTTAGGACATTGCCGCCTGCAATGTGTTCTACCACGCCCATGTATCAGTTTATTGTGAACACTCATTGCCATTTCGTGAACCTCAGTCATCGTATGCAAGGTCGCACTGTCTATGTGAGCGTACTGAAGGCTCTGGCAGTTCCATATCCGCTGGATTTTGGTTTTTTCAAATTTATGAAGCCACATTACGAAAAACTTCATCGAATGGAAAAGGAGCGCCGCGGTCGATTGAAGAATTTTGAATCCAATTTGCTTTGTAATGGTTATTTCCCAAGCAGAGTTTTGAAACGTGCGAACAGTTCCGATGATTTGAGTAGTGATGATCAAGCGGATGATCCGGCTGTTTCTGGTAGAGAGCGCGTGGAGCGTGCTCGCGATGATTCCGAATTTATTTACAGTTAGAAGCTTAGAAATTATATTTTGACTACCGCACATGAATTTGACACATTTATAATTGTTACTCTGGTGTTAATATTATGATGTTATTTGCCATAAAGTTTATTATTGTTATTTTTGCCTTATTGTGGGTACTTCAACGTATTTTGTTATAACGGCTTAGTGAAATATTTTTGAATATAAATAAATTTAAATTTTTTTCATCATCCTTCTAATCTTAACGACAAAGTCTCAAACTTTGCAGGCAATCTCAATAAAAATTATTTAAACAACTTTAGCCAAACATTTGAATTATGTATTTAAAGTATAATGAAATCCAACAATTGTTCTTGAGAATGAAATAAATAAATATCATTTTGTAGCGCACAAAAAAAAAATCAATTATTATTAATACTTTTTTTTTTCTTTTTTTTTTTTTTTTTTTTTTTTTTTTTTGTTTATTTAATATACTTGTAGTATTTAAACTGCTATTAAAATTGCCATTGAAATAACATTTGTTATTTTGTAAGAATTATTGTGCCTTTCATATGCTTTGTTAGAAATAGTATGTTTGCCACGCAATCGACAAGTGACCGTGTGGCCTAATGGATAAGGCGTCGGACTTCGGATCCGAAGATTGCAGGTTCGAGTCCTGTCACGGTCGATCCAAAAAAAAATTTTTATTTTTTTTATTTTATTTATTTTTTTTTTTAATTGCTTTTGGTGCACAAACTGTTAAAAAGTCATCAAGAAGTCTGGGGTTCAAACCTCACTCAAGCAAATAGATTACAACCATATATGCTTTAATTTCTGAAGATTTTTTAAAATTTAATTTTTTAGTTTTGTTATAAGGCAATAGTTAAAATGATATAACAAATTTACATCTTTAATATACACGTATAATTTAAGCGGCACACCTTCGAGGAAATAGAATATATTTTCTTTAGAGTTGCTCGCTTTGTTTTTATATGAGCGATAGAAGCGAACATTTTTCCATCAATTTTAATTTAAGTTGCCTTCGTTTTTGTTGTGGCTCCCATTGTCAGTTGCTCGGTTTTATCTAATGCATTTGTGCATTTGTCTGAGAAAACAGGTGAATGGAAAATCGAAATGTGGCTGTCATTTGGTAAAAGTGTTTGCAAGTCATGTGACAGCTTAAAATACGGACAAGCTTTGGAAAACAACTCTATATGAATTTATGTATAAAGTATATCCCAATGCAACATGGAGTGGCAATCAATTTTCTGATGATTGATGATGGCCAAAAACTAAAAGGTTTTTTTTTTTTTTTTTTTTTTTTTTTTTTTTGAGTAACAAACATGTAATAAGTTTGTTTGCCGTTTTTAAGGTAAGCAGAGTATGTCTAGGTTTAACTTCGATTGCCTGTATTAGTTGTTTATGCAAGTGTCAATTTGCATAATGTAAATGTAATGTTTTGATAATGTTAACAAATTGTTAAGATTACGTCAAGCTAATGTTAATGAAATAAGATAATGTTAACGCAATGCTTACATAAGTTAATGTAATGTTAATGTTCATTAGGAAATCTGAATATTGATTAACTCAAGTACTTATATTAATTTTATCAAAATACATGATGAAAG